AATTTGTGAGACTCATCTTATTTAAAAGTAGATTGGAAAATATAGACGCAGGTGTGTAAGTAGTTCAAATGGTGTTCTACTTCATTTCTTTTATAATAATACGATATATGCACAGTGGTTTTCGTTAATTAATAAAACTGGCATTTCAATAGAAATGATCCATCTGTAATTGAATAATACAATACTTTAACCTTGACTAATCAAAATCGATGCCATATTACGTTAGAGAATCATCTTCCGACATATCAATATCTACCAGTATAATATTATGAACTGAGCATAGCTTGTTAGTGCATTAACTAGGATTTTGAAGTACAGCACGGTAGATAAATGACAAGAAATATCGGTTAATTTAGTGCATTTCAAAATATGTGAGAAAATACGACAATAATAAATTTATAGTTTTCGGACTTATGAAATAGCACATCGTCCTAAATTTCGCCTTAAAATGCTGATTATTTAAATCGAGCAATATAGTAAGGGTACTTTGCGACTTGCGTATTGCGGCAGTCTATATCTTATCCTATCTAAGTCGTCTACTTCATAATAAAGTTAAAACAACGAAACTTAAGATAAAAGTCTGCTTTATTAAGGAGTATATATGCTTATAGTTTAATTTGAATTACCTGATATGATCATATTAGCTCTCCCACAATCCAGTAGAATAAAGCGGCATAATGTTTTTTACATACTTAAAATCGGGAAAAAATTCCTCTTTCATCAAATTCTCGACAACTTGAGGATCACTAATGATCCATAAAGAATTACCATAGCTGCTATATAATACTATCGAGCTACTTTCCTAACTGTAATATAGGAGAAATGAAATAGAATTGTTGAGTCTTTAAATTGCTTGTATTTGGATAGGCATAAGCATCCCCTAGACATTAAAATTTCGGTAGATTTTTGTACTAGCATTATTTTCGGGGTATTATTAATCGCGTTTAACACTTCCTACACTAATAAGCATCTGGTACTACAAGTTATATGTTTTATTATCCCCTAAGTTGTATGTTGTTTGGATCTTCTTCCAATAATTCTATAACAGCACTAGGGACACGATAAATAAATACGGAAATTTTTCCAGAAAAATCTATATAATATTAGATAATGAAAATAATTTATCTTACGATAATTATTTTTCCATAACATTGATTTACATCAATTCCTTTTACTTTAAAATGAATGCAAAAAAGAATAAGGAAAACTACGATATTATATAATCGCATCGTTTGCCTTTACCGGTGGCTAGCTTATTATTTAAAGTCTTGCAATAGAAAGAACAAATGAAATAGTTTTTGCCAAGTTATACTCGTATAATACTTAAAACCTGCCGTAGCAATAAATTAGATTTTAATTTAAAAGCACACGTTTCGTTTAGCTAGCTGCATTTTATTGATTTAAATGATTTCTGGAACATGACTAGATCGAATAATTCTATATATTTATTTTTCATTGCAAGATTGATGTTGCCATACCCTTCGTGAATTATTACAGGGGAATTAATAATATATAATAAATAAAACAAATTTAAGCATATACAGTTATATGAATTTATATGGCATTTTACTAAAACAAAGAGATCTTCAATTGCAAGGTTAATATGAATTAGAAAGCATTTGAATCATTATTTTTTAATATGGATTTCTCTTAATGGACCATCGATTGTGACCGCTTTCATATCGACCAGCAATTCTTTTGCGACCCTGTACACCTTGGTCGGGTACACTAAATCTAAGCATTAATCAGATAGAGCGCCCTTAAGGATGCCAATTACAAACTACCTTGTATATGTAAGACACAACTAATTTAAAGATCTGTCAGTGCAGTATTTAATACACAAATCAACAACATGGGGAACTTTGTTTACTTAAAGAATACGTAATAATTACGATTTATAAGATCAAAGTACAAATACCCCAATACTTACTATATTTACTTACTGAATATACTCGAAAATGTAAGAGTTATCCATCAAACATTTTCCGATTTTAATCGAAATTATTATCGAGTACGGCTGCATTTTTAAACAAATATTGGATCATACTGGAGCTCTTTCATTACAATACTATGCCCAAGAACTAGAGAGCTGTCAAGGGAAGTAGTTATGCAGTACAAATACTGTGTGACATATTAAGATCGCTTTGCTCTGTTCATAATAAGTAATGGCTAGCATTAATCAAATCTCATCATTAAGTAAATCGAATTATTTTTTTTAACACTGTAAACTGGGCTATTCCTTCACCAAAAATCTACGCGTACTTCGTTTAATCAGACGAGCGAGATTTGGAACTAACATTATCATTCAATTACTCAAGATCATTGAGTAGAGGTATTGTTGTCAAAAGGTTCAGCATTGCTAATTAAGACTAGAGTATTATTTGTTTTAGAGGGTTTAGTCTGAGTAGTATTTTAACATATAAACTCAGTTATTGGCCCCTTTTTTTGCTTTAGATACATTAAAAGCAGACCAGGAACCTTCACTCTGGGAGATTTACCCACATTTAATTTCTTAGTAATGGCAACTCTTAAAAGATTATTCAACATTCCCCTCATTGTAAAATTGATTATAAATGCTCCCGAAATACCATAAAATTATTCAGATCGATCGGATGAACTCTTCATCGTTATTCCAATTTCATAATAAGGTGTTAAATAGTCGATTAAATTCTGAAGCTGACCATTAAGATATCTTCGGTCTTTTAACTAGTTTTTCATGTATTCCAACCAAGTATGTTCTCTTATTAATGAATCAGATCTGAATATATATTCTATAAATATCTATTTACTATTTAGAATAATCTTTATATCCTTAGTACGGCATTATTTCGTAAATATGCCACTAATTGACTTATTTATACCATTTCACGGCTCAACTCGTAGTAATATATGTATACAAACATAATTTAAATCTGAGTAACATTTAATTCATCAATACTTCATGTTCATATTAAAATATCTCCTTATCAATTTAATTATTTCAGATGACGCGTGAGACAGAAAGTAAATCATGTCGTTTTCCATCTTGCAAGATTACTCCTTTTCAGTCATCTGAGGTAGGCGCAATTGTTTAATAAATTTGTAGACTATCCCAAATCACTTTATGAAATAAATTAATTATCAACTATGCTATTGTGATACTAATTAGTTTTCTTGTACGGAATCATAATATTAGCCGAGTATTGCATTAACATGTAATTGCTTAATCGTGGCTTTTATACAATTTTACAGAAGAGGTGTTTTTCTTCATTCTACTACTGTTTACACTAATATCTTAAAGACATTAAACTATATCCTAAAATCATTGCAGTAGTATAGGATTTGAATAATGTTACAAAAACACAACTAGAAATTGATATACAGTACAATAGATTGGATTTCTCAGAACTCGTAGCATTTTGGCCTATTGAGATATTCGGTGCCATAATTTATTTTCATATTATAAGTCACAGTAACATTTTTCAAGGTCTTGACAAGATGTGAATTTCGAAATTGATAATCTCGAAATAATTGTATTTTCATTATCTATTTTTCAGTCGCTGTTAAGTAAAGTCAAAGAATTACAGTATTTACTGCTTCAAGAATATGCATCACCTGATGCTTTAACTACAGTTTGTTCAGACTTAATATCTGCTATCCACTGCTATTCCAATATACCACAAGATTCATCCATGAATCATGAAAAGTACCAAGATTATCCTAATCTTGAATTGCACAATCATTCCAAAAGCAGTAAAAATGCCAATCGTTTATTAAATGATGACTTAAAATTGATAATTCATGAAATATCCCAACATATTTCTAAATCAAGTCAGCCACCACCTCCATCTTCAAAGCCTGATATTGGCTATTTCTTATTGCAGTTAACATATTGGCTAACTAAATTACTAGAATCTGTAGATGCAAATAATATGAACACTAATAGTAACGATGCAGAACAAAAACATCATAATGATGGCGATGATAGAAAAGCATCAGAACAGCAAATAAAAGAATCTAAAGTATCAGTCTTGGCAATTGCTACGTTAATATCAACTGTTGTATCTTATATAGCAGTTTACCATAATTCAATGGAAACTGGCAGTCATAATGACGGCAGAAATCAGTTGTCGAATTGTCAAAATCGTCGTGATCATCATCACTGTCGTGATGCAGTTAGCAATGATACCGATGATGATTACATTGAAGTAGAAGAGGATGATGAAGGAGATGGTACCGATGATACCATGGAGACAGATTCAAAAGTAAGTCGTGATGATCATTCATTATCCTCTCCATCGTCAATTCAGGAGTACAATTCATGTGGACAGATAGATGTAGATGAAGTGAAATCAAGTCAGAAAATAAGTAGTAAAGTAGGAAATTCACTACAGGAAGAAGGAGGGCAGAAAAATCAACCCACTGATCTAGCTCCTATTGCAAGCATTGCTTACACTTCCAATAATTTTATTAATTCAACTGCATTAACGGATATTGATTCTAATACAACTACGACAAACTCCAATAGCAAAGCTGCAAATGAGCTAAAGCCAACAGTAATAGTATCTCCATCTATAGCACCAGTGCCGAAGGTGTCCAATATTGCAACAACAGTAATTCCATCACCAAGCGAGTTGAATTATGCTGTTAGGAATAGTATTGACAAAGCTATTCATCCTTGTTTGCCAATCGTCATGACTACTAATCCAACGACAAAACATTTCAATGCTAGAGTCCTGTATAGCCATGGTGGAAAACATCTTGCAGGCTATCCTGGTTTGCCACCATCCCTATTTAACTCAACCCTCAGTAATCATCAACCCATCATCGCAAGTACATTATTGTGTCCGTATTGTTCATTGAGCTTAGCCAAATATACTGATAGCCAGATGAATCAATATTACACATGTACTCATTGTCATCATCATTTTCCTGTTACATCTCCTTCGTCTCCAACTTTAACATCTACTGTTTCGGTGGCATCATCATCATCGCTGTCTCCAACCCATGTTAAACAACACAAAATTTATAGATGCAAAGATTGTAAAAAAGTATTTAGTGATTCCTCAACGTTGCAACGTCATCGTTCTGTCCATAGCGCTGAACGTCCCTTTAAATGTAGAACCTGTTTTGCTGCATTTAAGTTAAAGCATCATCTTCAACGTCATGAAAAGCTCCATGCTAGCTTAGTAACATGTACAGATTGCCATCGTACATTTTCGCATTTATCGCAGTTACATAATCATATCCGAAGACGGCATTAACCGTGGATAGGAATACCTATCTTCTTCAGCAGGATTAAAGTGATAAACTATGATATAGCAGGACAAGTTTGGTCGTTTTTGTTATTCTTCGTGATACGGACAAGTACTTTACTACTCTATTGGCTCATCACCAAATCAGTAACAGTACTACTTCAGATTTTGACTATTCAAAACCTAAACTAATAACTGATTAATTAATGGTGCTTTTGTATCATGATAGAAGTAACACAGAATCAGGAGTTGTCCTTTATCTTTATGCTTTTAATAGAAAAAATTTAAAAATCTATGCAAAAAAGTTAGGCTCACGTTTAATGTAAAGTATATATCAAATTGAAATTATATAAATATATATATACATGCCCCATTTATTAATTTCAAAAGGAAAAGGCATTTCATAATATATGAAATGCCTTAAATATCACAAAAATAAGCTAAAATTCTAGCATGTGATAACGCAATAATTTATTATATCCATCACTTCTTTCCATAATTATTATTAAGATATTTATTGGACCTAAATGAATTTGCAGTAAGGTTATATCAGTAATTATTATTAGATTTTTCATTACTTGGTATACCATTAAGAACGCGCGTTATTAGCTTTCATTAATTTCATCATACATCATTAAAAATGAATTGGATAACAGTAATGCATTTAAGCTAGTCTTAAGAGTTAACCTTAACAAAAATAAGGCTGTTTATAGATTTAATCTATACAATTATACTGTTGGAAGATATGTTTCGACATGATTAATTTATAGAGAGAACTTGGAAAATAAATACTACAATTAGATCATGGCCATTTACTACTTAATGTGTGCTATTCTATCTACTGCGTAGATTAGGCACTTTTCTTGATCTCTCAATTATAATAGCGTTTCGTTCAATTATGGATACATACACACGGATATTCGTGTCTGATCGTACCTTACTATGAACCTTTAAACCTTTGATATTTAAATTTCTTGCTTAAACATCTTATTAGCCCTTACTTTATCTATCATGCGTAAAGTCTAATGGGTTTTCCTGCAATATCATTTATCTACTTGTCACATTCATCGCTTTTAACCGATATAAATTTGACTATAACTTTATGATCTCAATTCAAATGGGTGCAACTTGAATTAATTTTTTATCGTGTAGATACTATAATTGAAAGAATAAAAATCTTGTCCGATTGCAGCATTAATAAGAAGCAAGTCATAATGTTACTTTGCTGTAAGCTTGATACATATTAGTTGACGATTAGATCAAGTAGAATTTAGTGTTGATAGAAAGTTGCTAACAGTTGGCCTACTATAACGTCTAGCCAGCTCATTTAAGTTCTGAAATGAAGTCATTTTGGTTCCATATCACGATAATTTTTTTAAACGTAGCAGTGTATTTAAATTACATTATTTCTTACAATATCCTTCATTATTAGGTACTTGTATTAATGGAATATACAGAATTTAGGTTTATGTGTTCAAGGCTGTAAATTAGTAACCATCAAATTACCTTCTTATCTCTTTACTTAAGCTTAAATTATAGCTTATCAAGGCAATTACAGAATGGTAAGTACTTCATCGTGTACCAGTGAATTCCAATGGAAAGCGAGAATTAATAGATTGTAGCGATTCTGATATTTTTTTACAAAGCTGAAAGGTAAATGTAACGTCTTGTTTTTGCTTCATTATTTATCTTCATTAAGATACTGAAAAAAAGCAATAGCAGCTCATAATTATCAACTATAGCTATTAGTATAGCTATTTCAGTAATTTACCGTAAAATTTATTTTAGGTTTATATGGAATTGCAATAGGCAAGGAGGATTCTTATGTATGCCTTTTCTGTCCCTTTACCTGTACACGCAAAAACCATAACGATTAAATTATCTAGTCTTTATTAACATTCAAGAGCTAATTATATCAGTGAATGGTTAATTCTTTACTCTATTTAACATCGGAACGTAGTTTGGATTGCTTAAATAGACTCAGCCTTCCGTTTACTCTATTTTCCTTATAAACGAGTAAATTCGGTGGAGTACTTATTATTGCCTATGAGGAAACTGATTTTGTGCAATTCATCGCAAGTACAGTAAAGAAATAGTCTTCGACTGTACTTGACCTTCTTAGACCACTGTATGAGTTCGCTAATAATTAAATAAGTTCTAATACTTAAATAAAGGGTTTGATATGATAGATACTGAATTGGAGATGCACATAAAAAGCGTTGTGCAAGTAATCCTCTTTGTCGAGATTAATGCAATCCTTTACCCTTTTATATCGTTAGTCTCATACAAGGCATAGCAATTGACCGTTTACTGCAAGACGCTGAACACATGTAAAGGTCTGAAAACTAATTCTGAATCCTATAGAAACATCACAAACTGTAAAACCAAATTTGTGACTCGATATTTTAATTTTCTGCAATAACAGATCATAGATTACAATCATGCCAATAGTTCCATTATTAATGGAGTCAAATACAATGATGGCTTGATACGAGTAAATAGGGCACAATTCAGGCTATATAGCTTAGGAAAATTGTTCGATATTATAACATGACTAGTGTTTAAACATACAGTATTTTATAAGAAATAATTACTTAAATCAATTTTTTTTAAACTGCCAAACAAAATAGTGGCATGAAGTTACTGAAAGTTTACAAACGTTCATCCAAGTAATATTTCCAATTATATTTTAAAGGGATTGTTATAACAACCAAAATAGAATTATGGTTACCACAACATTATAAATTGATTCTTGATGGGCAATCAGTAGGAAGATCGGAGAAATAGTACTTGGAGAAAATACCTTATTCTAAACATTGGCTAATTTTAATATTTAACCAATAGGCGCGTATTGCTGATTTCATCATGCGAGAGCCGAACAGGTTTGAAGACAAAGTGAAATTCATGATTACTACTGCTGATATAATCTATATCCTTCTATAAATTAATTTCTTAATTCGCAATAGAGATCTAGTAGCTAGTTTGCAACCCTAATCAGTATAAATATGTGATATTTGGAGGTTCTTTGCTTTAATATAAGTTCATAGTCACATGGGCCTTTTTCTTGGTAGCTCTATGGCACACCCATTTATTTATTACATAGTTTAGTCAAGACACTCAAGGGATTGCCTTTGAATGATGATTATAAGCTTAATTCTGTGGCATAACAAACTAAGTATTGACTAAGTCAGATCAGAGAACAAGATCATTTCAAGAATCAATTGGTTTTGTTCCTCTGAGCTGTATATTAGTGCAATAAGCACGATCGAAGGATGGGGCATGTGGATGGCGAGGATTACTTCCATGGCCAAGTTACGGCCGAATTTGAGCAGGCCCTTGACCGAATTGTTGGAACATCCCATCGTTATGCTAATTAGCTTTTCATTATTTATAGTTAAGTTTGTCATCAATTAATTATTTACAGTCAGGTAGATCAAGTTTCTTTTACTTACTAACCGGAATCTTACGGATCGAACGGAATCTGCTCTAGTACTGCATATTACTTTATAGTCAAAATAAAAATCAATTTATTTTTCTACCGGTGTCAATTCAATTCGTTACGAAATGTAGAAAGCAAGTGGGAACAAGGTGAGAATTGAGTACATTGTATTCGAGGAGAAAGACTTCTCACCATTCGAAAACATTTAGAGGGAAGAGAAAAATGTAGCCCAATTTTTTTTAAATGTAGAAAGTATATCGGAATAAGGCGAGAATTGAGTACGTTGTGTTCGAGGAGAAAGACTTCTCAACTCTCAAAGGAAATAAGACTACTTAAGGACGCTATAGCTATTTTTGCAACGATAATAAAATTTTTTGCCGACTTTAGGAGAAATACTTTTATCAAAGTGTATGATGTGAACTTGATAGTTTTAACCTAATAACTATTTCTCTTGTTATTCAATTGATTTAACCGAGCTCTATACATTGCCTATGTCTAAAATTCAACGGCATGGACGTTAATAATATTTGCTGAATTAGATACTATGTATGGTAGGTGGACTGATGAAGATTTATTAACGATAAGCTTGCTAGCTCAGCTTATAAAGATTACTAAGGCATAATCAATCAGAATTAATGTTATTAGATATAATAGTTCAATTAAAATTATATTAGAGAAGTATAGGGTTACAATTCTAATATTAGGATGTCATTAATGCCCCCAAAGGATATTTAAGGTTGTATAATTTTAGAGATTTTGGTCGAATATTCCATTTTGAAATACTAAAGAAGGTTAAACTTTTCGATCTCCGTTGATTAGCAATCATTACTTGAATACCGCACTTTTTTGGATAGTTTAATGAAGCATTATCAGCTACTCTTAACTTATATTGGTACTTTTATGCTCAAGTTTTACTACAAGTCTGCTAGTTAGATTATTATTGCTATACTTACGAATCATAGTGGTTAGTTTGGTGTATTGGAACGCATTGCTAGCACGGAGTGTACTATTTTAATAAAGTGAGCAAAATTGAGAGAAATAGAATAGATTACGATTCAAATTTATTTGTAGCTGATTGTCATGCCACAATATATTGGTACTTATCGATATATTTATTACAGAAATCGAGCTATTGCTGTAGCTATAATGAACCCAAAGATAAATTTACAATTCAGTCTAAATTCATATGAAAGAAATACAGTTAAATTAATTAATTGCTACGTAGTAGTTAAGAGGAATTAATTGTAATTAGAGTCTACTGAGTAGTCTGTAATTTTAAATACCGTTCATCTGCAAGTATATCTAAGCAGATTTCGTGACGGTTACTCGCCATAAACTACTTGCAAATGAATAATAACAAATATATTAATCTAGTTTTTGGAATGCTTTCTACTGCAGTATTCTTGGAGGACTACAGGTATTAAGGACTATGCAAATCAAATATTTTACTTCAATCAGTGAGATAGCGAAGGTACTTAGACTGGAGATACTTACCTTAAATATATAGTGTGAGAGATCTGCAAGTATTAACACAATTTAGCAAGATTCGTATGTTAGATAAATCCAAACTCAAGCTCTTCTAGTAATAACTAAAAAGTTTTTCGTTGGCTATTCAACCCTTGTCTCTTATGGATAGGCAAGTAATAAACGGAGAAGAAAGAGCCACTAGATAGGCTTTGTATCTAAACCTCTAAATTTATATTAATTTAAATAACTATTGATCTAGGACCATTAGGTACTGATCTTTAGCAGTAATCAAGTACTTTTAAAAAACTTGAATAATCTATGACAGTACCCGCATAAATCTTACTGTATATTGTGGGATGTGCTCCATTTTATTAATAAAATAAAATGATGGTACTGTAAGATCGAGCTGATTTATTAGAGCTAAAATTTACCGATATTTGCAATCGATTTTGGTATTGGTCGTGTGATAGCGTAGATGGCCAAGTGACTGACGATAGTTGTATCAAGAGAGTCTGTATAGTCTAACATATATAGTATGTTCAAAACCGCTAATACTTCTACCTAATAAGTAACATGCAATGTTTTGTAACCAAGGGATCGAAGTCAAAGATTGAACTTAAGATAATGTTTTATTAATCGTAAATCAGTTAAAGTGCAGCAGCTTAAGTTTAAAGAGTAAGAGTAATTATAAAAATTCTAACGCTGTAGTATAGCTGCCATTACATGACGACAAATTCTACAAACGCGTAAATATATAACCATGGATACACATATTTTTGATTACTACATTGCAGTCAAAGTAAAATACTAAATCTAAACATGGTATTAAATTGTCATTTTATCACGGGTACTGTACAATCTAAATTAAATTTGGTCTACTGGATGCTTTAACATGATTAGCCATAAATTATCAAGTATGTATCCATTATTAATAACACGCACAATGTGCGATCCTATTAAGCTACAATGCCATGGAAAGTAATTATTTTGTCATACATCCACAAGATGGGCGAATTACATTACATTCGCAATTCAGTAGATATCATTAACTGTATCAGCTGCTACTCTATCATATTTTAAGTTTAGAGTAGATTTACTATTTACTCTTTATCGGATTCCTTTTTACTTTCTGCTTCATTACTGGCGGCTGCTTCGTCGCATAACTTCTGGCATGTAGAGTTGCAAACTTGGCCGCACTGAAATTTTTTCAAGCTTTCTTTAAATTCTTCAATTTGATCTTCCTCAACGTTGATATAGTCTTCACTTTGACATTCATTACCTTCAGCATCAACGATTGTTGTGACGGTATGTTTCTGATCGCCGATAGTTTGTGTAATGACAGTTTTACTCTCACCATTTTTCTTCTTAAAAGATGACTTGCAATAGGCGTATTTATCTTTACCATTACTTTGAGTTCTACTTTCCGTATGAGATCTTGATGTAACGATATCTTGAGGGTGGTTAGCCAATGATGAATTATCGTCACTGGTTTGGCAGTATTCCTCAGGGCAGGCTGAACAATCGTCCGATGTTGCTTCTCCAAATATATCGGCAAAGGTATACCATGGCCTGTCATTCAGCAATGAAAACCATGGGGCAATAACTTTCTTAGCGGTGGATTTTTTGCTTTTATCAGTTTTACTAGTATTCTCTCTCGATGATGGTTTGCTTAAATTTGGCTCTTTGACTGTCTCATCCTCTTTCTTGGATGCGGATTGCGATTGGCTCGACTTTTCCGTATTGCAACATTCCTTGGAAGCTGCATCCTTACAAGCTTTATTACACTGTTTTGGAGCGGATCGTTGTCTTTCGGCAGGTATCAATCCGACAATTTTGTATTGATAAGGATGGTAATAATTACAGAACAGATCATCATAGACATCAAACCATGGATTAGTAGAAGCCAGTGGAAGAGGGGAGTAACGGCTGCTTGAATAGCTAAAATAAAAATGCAGGAAATAAGATTAATACATGTACGCAAAATACTCACTGTGATGATTATAAATTATGATTTCAACGTAATACTGAAGCTCGTCAATACTGAGTGCGTTCAAATCGATACATGTCTTTCTATTCGATAATCTGCTTTTCTTGAATCAAGACTGAGATTTGGTTACTACTTTGATTGCTAATGCATACTTTAAGTCGATTTTGCTAACCGTTGCTACAGTATAATGATTGGCAACGATCACTGCAATTTTTTTATTACTGTTGCAAAGTGTAGTCTTTGCTCCACGGCATGTAGACCAACTTTTATAAAGTGCAAATGGATTACTTACCAGTATGGTGATTGATAGTAGCTATTTCTTGGGTAAACGATAGTATATGCCATTTTGAATGAACTAATCGTTAATTATCCTGTGAATTGGAGCTTGGTGTATGTCTTTGCAGTGTTTGAAAACGTTTGCCAAATGGATTTCTGAATCCGATCGATCAGGATTGCTAGTATTTATAGGCTTTGAAACTGCAATCCAGTCGTTTCTAGAATATACAATTGGCGAGATTAGCGTGAGTAATGCCATTGCTTCCATACTTATCATAGATGATGAAGCTAATTTGCTTATATACGGGCCAGAATTGGCGTAATTAGCATGAGTAAAGCCGATTGCTTCCATATTTATCCTTGATGATGGAGCTGATTTGTTTATATATACAGTAGATATAGGCAGAAGCTTCCAGTCAATTCTGGAGGATTCGTTCGGTAGACGCCCCTTTTGGTTTTGTAGTGTAACTAGATAGGGTGACATCTATTTTGCTTAAAGCGTCTGATAGTAAGGTAAGGTTTAGAGAGTAGATTGCAGTAAAACACCATAGAGTGCTTGGCGTCACTGGCCCACAATATCGAGTAAATTCGTTTGAAGAATCAAATTGACGTCACCGCATGACATGTGGTCCGTCACGTCCGTGCCGTGTACAGATGAATCTGTATGCTGTATTAGGACCGTATAGGATTACTATAGAACTCCTATGACATACAGTATTGTCATATGACTGCTCATACTGTAAATAGTCTTCTGCTCTCAGTATACTGTAAATACTGTTACTCAACTGCAGAACAAGAATTGCAACTATCGGCCGGCCGGCTTCTGGTCGCTCGAATGGCCGAGAATGATCTGGAATGGAAAATGGATAATGTATAAGTAGGGCCAGCTTTGGCCCATTTGAGTCAGATTTATTTCATAATCATTCCGCTGACCTAAGCGATCCAAAGTTTAAGCTAGTTTGCTATTTTCTGGTTGTCTCGTTTATTACAGCTTACGCTTGCAATTCTCAGCAATGGCTTTCACATTCTATTATCCAGTAGAATCTGCTTTCGATAGAAGAAATGCCTACTATCAATCACCGTGGTGGTAAGTTGATAGAATGCTAATAAGACCTTTGATGGATGCTTCTGCTATAGAAATAGGCATCAGTCTAGTTGTTGCACTTATTCTCAATAAGTATCGATATGATTCATCGATAAAGAATCTGTAGTTGTAGATATGTGGCTAGAAAATATTGTGGTGTTATTATGAGCTATCTTCTCGTTTACAATCGGATGACGTAATTAAGAAGCATAAATGGATTTATGCTTATTTCTATCATTTTATAGGGGTTCAGTAAGCCACAATTCTCCTCTTGCACTCGCTTCCGATCTATGGTCGAGTCCTTATGATGATTTCTTCGATAGCGTTCATCGCCCTTATCAATACAGGATTGTTAGGCGCAAGTTAACTCCCGTCAAGCGACAACAATCCGATCCTGAACAATATGCTGAAGATGCGGAAGAATCCGCTGCTGATGATGAGAAATCGGGTCATAAAGAAGGGTCTAGCCCTTCGAAGGAAACATCAAACAAAGGGGAAAAAAACGCAAAAAAATCGCAACCAGCTACAAGTCAAGATGACCAACAAACCAAAAAGGCACGCTTCGAGGAAAGATTGCCATCGTCTAAGAAGAATGCTGGTAAAAAAAGTAGAAATAAAAAATCGACAATCGCTAGTAACTATCGTGGGTTGGGACCTTGGTTACCAACGCTTGTGAGTAGACCATGGCACAACATTGCTGATGTACTTGAAGATATGACCCCAGACAATATCTTTGGTTGGCATCATCAAAACGGTGAAAGCGATAACGAAAGTTCGTCATCGGATAGCAATGCACAAGATGTTGTAACATCTAGATCCCATATAGAAAGTAGAACTCAAAAGAATGGTCAAGATAATTACACCTATTATAAATCCTCTTTTAAGAAACAAAATGGTGAGAGTAAAACAGTGATTACCCAAAGTATCGGCGATCAGAAACATACTCTCGCAACAATCGTTGATGCTGAAGGTAACGAACGTCGAAGTGAAGACTATGTCAACGTTGAAGAAGATAAAATTGAAGAATTTAAAGAAAGTTTGAAAAGATTACAGAGTGGTGGATTGAGCGACGCTGCACCTAAAAAGCTTTGCAATGAACCCGCCAACAGCGATGAGGCAGAAAGTAGAAACGAATCTGTTCAACAGTAATTAACAGTGACCTTGTTTTAAACGTAATGTGTCGCGTAGTAAAATTCTATATTCCTTATTTTTTGTACTTGGCAATGACCAAGTGATTGTCAGTAACATTTTATTAGCATATTATGTTATTTATACGGCAGCAGCATACTTACTATATGCTCTTAGTGATAGTAAGTTAGATAGCTTCGTTTATCCTTCTATCATAATGAGGACATTTGTGCTTTGTGCTATGTATTCGTGAATGGGTTCGTCCTGATAGTTTAGTAATATCCCGAATAATAACACCAAATGCACTAACGATATCCAATCATGTAGAACAAGTTGCCATATGATGTCAATGCGACCTCTATATTAGTATTTGCTGTTCATTTATTATTTGTTTACGTATTCTTGTGTGGATATAAAAAAAATAAAGAAATCTTTTATTTGAGCTACAATTGCAAAGCGCAATGATTGCTTCAGTAAGTTTAGACTCTTGTTTTGCTAGCTGATGGGGATTTAAGCGGGTAAATTACTATTATTTACAACTCATTTATGTTCAAAGTTACTATGACGATAAAATTTTATATTTCGGCGACGAGTCACGTCAAAATGATTTGACTGCAATCACAAGACTCGTCGTCGGTCGCTGGGTTTTCATCGCTCATGTGAACGTACCATAATTGGGTATAAATGTATACTTGGAATATTCTTTTCCTAACAATTTATTTTATTCTGCTGTATAGCAGTATTTAGCTGTTTATATTTGCATCTGTTGTATGAAATACTTAATCCTTAATTGTGTCCCATAAGTCTTAAATTAATGAAGCGCTAGTAATCCATCGATGTCGCTTTTAGATAAGTATTCGTCAGTGAGATTGATACAATCCTATCCATCAAAACTGTGCCATGAAATTAGCGTCGTTGCTATACCATTGGACAAGACGATAATCCTCTGGCAATTATACCTATGATAAACGAATTCTCGACGACAACTGCAATGACATCTAAGGATCATTGATCTAAGTGATGGCGATGTTCTGTAGAATTCATGAACTAATCTCATCAAGAAATTTTAAGTTAATTTTGAGTGCATGTATTTACACTATACCAGGTAGTATTGTATTTATGTTAGGAAGCGTATATATTAAGATAATGTAGATATGAAATTTCTTTATATGTATCGCTTTGTGCAGATTATGTTCCCATTCATTTAAAAGGGTAGTTAACTAGTATTTACAACTGATTCATGTTCAACGTTTCTATAACAGCAGATGGGTATAAATACGTATAAATGTATACTTAGTGTTATGTATGTAAGAATACAGTAACCTGTTGTCCTGCATCTAAAGTGTTAGCATAAAATAAGGTAATAAATTACTAAGTTAAGGGTATAATACATCATTATGGTTATGCTATTTAAATGCAGTAAATCCTAAATAAAAGAGACTTGTAGTAAGCTTACTAGGAGGAGTGTATCAAAGTCTCTCGTGCTAACGTTAACGACTAAGAGTGGAAGCGCAACGCTTAGAATATACTTTTCCCTGTAATTTATTGATTTTATTCTGCTATATGGCAGTACGCAACTGTTTACACTTACATGTGGTGTATGAAATACTTAATCCATAACTGTGTCCCATAAATCTTAAATTAATGGACTACTAGTAATCCATAGATATCGCTTTTAGACAAGTATTAGTCAGTGAGATTGATGCAATCCTTCCCACCAAAACTGTGTCATGAAACTAGCATCATTGCTATACCCTTGGAAAAGACAGTAATCCGGAAAATTATTCCTATCATAGACGAATTCTCCTAGATAACTGGAAGTGACATCTTAAGGTCATTGATCTATTTGATGGTAATGTTTTGTAGAATGAATGAACTAATTTCATGGAGAAATTCCATACTAATTACTTATTCTACAAACGCTTATGATAAACGAATCCTTCAAGACAACTAAGAATGACGTTTTAATATCACTGATCCAGTTCGTGGTACTGTTCTAGAGAATGAATGAAGTAATTTCATGAAGAAATTCCATACTAATTACTTATTCTATAAACGCTTATGATAAGCGAATCCTTCAAGACAACTGAGAATGACATTTTAATATCATGGATGCAGTTCGTGGTGCTGTTCTAGAGAATGAATAAATTGATTTCATAAAGAAATTCCATACTAATTACTTATTCTACAAACGCTTACGATAAACAAATCCTTCAAGGCAACTAAGAATGACATTTTAATATCATGGATGCAGTTCGTGGTGCTGTTCTAGAGAATGAAGGAAATAATTTCATGAAGAAATTCTAACTAATTTACTTATTGTACGAACGCTCAGCCTGCAGATTTTGCCATCAAAATTGAGCCTCAAAATTCCAGACTGTAGAATAGTAGCGATATCATTCACTAGTGTTGAGATAGAGCTTTAGTAGATCATATCGTCTCCCTCTTTCGAATACAACGTATCGCAGGTAATGATGACAAGCTGTAAGTCTTGTGCGATGGGCTTGCAGTCAATTTAGCCAAAGGTAAAAATAAACTGATTTTAGACTTCCCAAGCGTCATATTTCAGCGGATGATTTATTGCAGCTACTGGGTATTAGTGTACCAGTGTCTCTATTTACAATTCAACTGGATGGGAAATCAGTTATAACCTTATACTGCTGCAGGCTGTAAGGAACTTTAGAGACATATAACATGGGAGATAGGGTTCGTCTTATTGAATATTATTTACTGGGTTTCCTTCTGGCAAATCATGAAGCAAATCAGAAGGAAATCGAAGTGATGCCGCGAGCAAGTAGAAACCAAGGTAACCACAACAGATCAAATTAAACGAATGCGAATCGTTGTAAATGTGATTAATAATTGTGACATGGAAGAAATGTTGATTTCTTGACGATCATCAGATAAAGTAGTTTGTGTACTGCATACGTTGAAATACTTGTAGACTGTACTAAAGGTAGAGAGGATTGATATATCTGTTTTCAATCTTGTGAATGTGGCTGCAGCCATAGCTCATGTTGCAAGCGCAAGCGATGACTGATCACATAATAACGTGATAGCAGCTACAACGCATTTATACTGATGAAATTGCCATAGTATAACCTCAGTCTCGCTTTAAGATCATTAATGATATACGTTCTCGATTTATTGTTGTTATTCTTGCATTAACGTTGCTTAGCATGCTGCAGAAATTGAGTGATGGTGACTTTATCGGCGTGATAGATTTGGATAATCAGCCAATATACTAGGAGAAGATATAAGCAATGTCTTATTCTTGAAAGACAGTAATGACGTCAATTCTTGATCACTTGTTTAATGCACTGTACTCGTAGTATGACAGCTTTTTTCTGTCATTTCGATTTCTTTAGCTACGGCACAAGATCTCATCCAAGATAAAGTATCCTCCTATTTATCGTCAACTGTAGATGAAGATCAGTCGAATGATAGGTAATATCATATCGTAGACATTCACTCAACGATATCTTATTAGCTTTACCTGATTGCGTTTTAATTTCTCGGTTTGTCACAACCGAGATTGTAACACAAGAATTAAACGGGATTCTTTCCTCTAAAGTAGACTTAACTATCTAAGCAACTAACTCTAAGCACTCTTTAATCAACCAAACTTAGATTCGAGTCTTAGACGATAGATTACTCACGTTAAGGATCAAAACTTTATTCTAGAAGCTATTTTATTAAAATGTCCGATTGAACGCACAACTTACAATTACGACTAGCAACTGATAACCATCTGTCATCGACTAACGTAACTAACTCTCAATAAGAA